CCCGTAATCTTCTACACCAGGTATTTGCATATTATGTTCTAGCAATAACAGATTATATCTCCCTGCACAAAATGTGCTGTTTTGCGCTCCCAGTTTTAGCAACGTTCTTTCCTGCCTTTATTTACTTGGGCTTATTTTATGTCCAATTTCTACTTCATAAATCCATTAGATGTGTGCTTTTCTGTCACATAAATACTTCTCTTGTTGCATATGTTAGACTGTATTGCCTTTATTTACATTTGTAGCCCTTCTAAATTTATAATATGCTTGAAGACAGAAATCCTTTGTGTGTTTATGTCTGTGTGTGCATGGTGTGGGGTATTGAACCCAGGGCCTTTTGCCTGGTAGGCAAGTACTCTACCACTGAGCTACACCCCAGCCCAGAAACTCATCAAGTATCTACATATCTAAGTGTATATCTATAACACATTGTGGGGATTCAGTAAATTTTGAACCGAATTGAAGCTGATAGGTTAAAGTCTGCTCTGTTACAAAGAATACTTTTTTTCAGTTGTTGCTGGACCTTTATTTATTTTTATGTGATGCTGAGAATGGAACCCAGTGCCTCACACTTGCTAGGCAAGCACTCTACCACTGAGCCACAACCGCCCGCAGCCCCTATAAAGTATGCTTTTACTTAGACTTTAATTGTGGATTCCTTATAGCACAAATACATATTCCTTGTTACCTTGAGAATATAGTGTTATTTTCATGAAGAAATACAAGGAGTGTCTGTGGATTGGCAGTGGGATTTGAAAAATTAATTTCCATTACTCAAATGAGAGAAAGATAAAGGGGTATAATTAAAGACTGACCAGAGATCTTAATATTCTCTTCTCCAAAGAGTAGGAAGAACAATGGACAATTTTATGGTTAGCCCTGAAGGTTCATTATCAAGTATAATTAGATCATGAAGCTGTGAAATCCTGAAAAAATCCTTATGCCTCCAAAGGTTCATATCATATTTGTTTGGTTGCTTGTTTTTTCCATTAGGTGCTGCAGAGTTTTAAGATAATGGATTACAGTCTTTTGATGTCAATCCACAACATAGATCATGCACAACGAGAGCCCTTAAATAATGAAACACAATACTCATTTGACACGCGCAGACCAGCTCCCCAAAAAGCTCTCTACTCCACAGCCATGGAATCCATCCAGGGCGAGGCTCGACGAGGTGGAACCATGGAGACAGAAGATCAGTGAGTAGGCTCGGGTACCAGGGAGGTGAGCACAAGCTCACAGCACTTTTCCTTAAGGAACGTACTTGGATTCTGGAAAGAAAGAATAGCTTTGATTTCAGCAGTCAAACCAGCAACATTAATGCTTATAGAACCATAGGAAGACCTTTCTTAAGCAGGACGGGGAGGGAGGGGGCAAGAGGTTGAAAAAGGATGATGGAATGAGATGTCCATCTTAAGTGTATTAAGACAAGAGTGGTGTGAATATACTTTGTATACAACCAGAGATATGAAAAACTGTACTCTATAGGTGTAATGTGAATTATAATGAATTCTGCTGTCATAAATTTAAAAAATTTAAATAAAAGAATATAAAAGGAAAGGAGGAGGTCTTTGATTTGGGGTTTATAGTACATCTGGGAAGGTGAGCTACTCAAGATGAAAAGAGTGAGTCTTAGACACATATATGAAAATTATAACTTTATAATAATGGCTTCTTAATGTAAGGCATCTTCTTAGCATCATGATTTAACTAATGTTAGTAAAATACACGAAGTATCTTTAGGTATCCTATAATATGACTGTTAAGAAGAGTATCTTGGGGCTGGAGTTCTGGCTCAGTGCTATAGCGCTTGCCTGGTGTGTGTGAGGCACTGCGTTCAAATCTCAGCACCACATATAAATAAATAAATAAAATAAAGGTTCAGCAACAAATAAAAAAATATTAAAAAAAGAAGAAGAAGAATATTTTAGTGGGCATAAGTTAAAATACGAAAGTTCTTAGGAAGTTTAGTTAATTGGGGGAGTATTCCCCAAATTGCTATGTAATAGGGATTCTACAGTCTCTGATGGGGTAGGAGACATAATTAAGGAGATTGTAGAGAAGACTAAAACGGGTTTCTTAAGACTTGAGGAAGGATTTCATTCTCTTATAGTTTATGAAAAATGAGTCAGTTATGTTTAGGTCTGAGTTCCATGTTCTAATTTGAATTAGGGTTAGGAGAAGCCTCTGCCTGCTAGCCAGCAGATTTTCTAATTCTTTCTTTTTGTCTTCCCCAGTATGGGTGGCATCCCTGCCCGGAACAGTAAAGGGGAAAGGCTCCTGCTTTATATTGGCATTATTGATATTCTGCAGTCTTACAGGTAAGAAACATATAGACCTCAAAGTAGGAGACAGAGTAAATGCAGATAGCTACTCATGTTTTTTAGATGGGTCTATCATCACACCCTTCCTAAAGCAAAAACATTGAGTTGCCGTTGGACTGTTTAACCCATTGGTTTTCTAAACTTCCTTGATTTAACCTCTCTTCCTGGCTTCCCTACCCCACCACTTCCCCAAACATGATATATATATATACTTTCTCTGGAAAGCTGAATCAGTCCTCAGAAGCACCAGAGTGGAACATGCCATCTGCCTGGCTCTTTGTGAAAACCTGTGAGATGTGTCATACTCCACATTGGAGTATAGCTGGAAGCATATTCCCTTTCCCACAGAGGAAAAACAAGAGGATCACTGTTCTATAAAGGTATCAGCCTATGGAACAACAGAGATAGTGAAGTGGTGATGAGGGAGAAGCTAGAAATGTTAGGCCCCCATTGTTATTCCTATAACACTTTGGGTACTAATAGGGACTGGAAAATACTTGACTTACTGATTTCATATTATTATCCACTTTCAACTGCTATTTCCAGTTTTGCCCATCTGTTTCTCCAGCTCTCTTTTTACAATTCATATTATTTTGTTTTGTTTTGCAGTGCTGGGTATCAAATCCAGGGCCTCTCATGCATGCTAGGCAAGTGCTCTACCACTGAGCTATATCCCCAGCCCATTTAAAATTAATATTATTGTCCCTGATTTGCCAGGACATGTAAACTGCCCTTTTCCTATGAAGGAATAATTGATTTACATAGAAAAAGCATTGATTGCTGGGCACAGTGGTGCATGCCTGTAATCAATCCCGGCAACTCAGGAGGCTGAGGCAAAAGGATTACAAGTTCAAGGCCAGTCTCAGCATATTAGTGAGGCCTTAAACAACTTAATGAGAATCTATCTCAAAAAAGGGCTGGGGATATAACTCAGTGGTAAAGTGCCCCTGGGTTCAATCCCCAGTACCTCCCCCTGTGAAAAAAAAAACAAAAAAGGCATTGATTTCTAATCTGAATAAGCACTGCCATGCCTTTCTCTGGAAAGCCAGCTTACCAGAGTGGAAGTACTTTGTCAGATTTTGTCTTTTCAAGGTTTTATATTATTGCCTCTTCCTAGAATTGGGGGAGGAGAAAAAAACCTATTAGACATTCATTCAGAAATAGTGTGTGTGATATTAATTTTTCTCTGCAGGTTTGTTAAGAAATTGGAGCATTCTTGGAAAGCACTTGTACATGATGGGGTGAGTAGCAGTCAGCTAAAGGCTTCCTCCCCACTTTTGCCTCTCTCACTCCCAATTTCATTTTGGGGTTTTATCCTTTGGACAGGGCTTGGTCTAAAGGAAAATGGTCCTTGGACTACAGATTCTTTTATTGGGCCTTTCTCTAACTCTGTAGCCATCTCTTCTGCTCTGTAGGACACTGTATCGGTGCATCGTCCAGGCTTCTACGCTGAACGGTTCCAACGCTTCATGTGCAACACAGTGTTCAAGAAGATCCCCTGTAAGTGGCTTCTACCAGATGATCCCCCAGTGGCTCCCTTACCCCAAGAGATGGGTGGCAGGACACCTGTGTCAGGGAGCTGCAAAGGCCAAAGGCCTCTCCTGCTCTACCTACATCCTGTGAAAGCTGCTTCTCGTCTTTATGTCAGTCACTCTGTCTGTCCCAGTCGTTTCCGAGTTGCTGCTTTCCCCCTGGCTCTCCCTCCATGTGTCATTGAGGTGAGGGCCTTTTCTGGGGAATTGGTGGGATTGCAAAAAATGTTTAGTTATGAATATAGAATCCATGCTGCAGTCTCAGAGCCAGGCTTTTATGTACAGGGAGTGATAGACAAAGATGTTACCAGTATTATATCTTCTGTCCATGCCCCAGGTACCAAGTACCTGGGGCATGGACAGTTCTCAGACTAGTTGCTGTGGGTGAAGCATTTCTGGTTTCTGCTTAAAACCTCAACTTTATGGGTTTAGAAGTTGCAGTTTGGGTGTGGTGATGTCCTATCTCAAAATAAGATAAAATTAAAGGATGGGGATGTAGCTCAGTGATAGAGTGCTTGTCTAACATGTGTGAGAAAGAAAGACAGAGCTGGGCATGGTGATATAAGCCTGTAATCCCAGCAACTTGGGAGGCTGAGGCAGGAGGACTGCAAGTTCAAAGCCAGCCTCAGAAACTTTGGGCCCTACCTATCTCAAAATGAAAAATAAAAAGGGCTGAGGATGTGGCTCAGTGGTTAAGCACCCCTGGGTTCAATCTTTGGTTCCAAGGGGTAAAACAAGGCAGGGGGAAGTGCCAATATGCTCCTCGCCCCCCAACCATCCATGCTGTTGCCATGGTAAATTCCAGCTCTTCCTTCCTTCACCTCATCAGACATCAGTAATCCTTTAGTGAGATGTAGAGGACCTAAACATGCCAGACAGTTTTATGGGGGATGGAAAAATCCTATCTTTTCAAAGTGACACATAAATAAGTATAAATTACACTGTTGGGTGCATACATCTTTTAGGTTGTGGGGGGAATATTACTAAAGAACAAGGGAATTATAGAAAAGAGCACATCTCATCAGGTGGAAGCAAAACTATCATATAGGGGAAAGGGAGGGAGATGAGTATGTGTCATCTTTCTTCTAAGTTTTCTGCTTCTTTCCTAAATGAAGTGAAATGAAACACCTCCCACTCCAAATAGTAATTCATAGAGCCTTCTTCATTGATGTTAACCCTTATTCCTCCTTTGCTTCAGAAGAACAACTTTGGCTGTGTGTACCAACTCCTGGGTACACTAGGAGTTTGTATCTGTGTCTTGGTGATGGTTTCTGAAGTGGGTGCTAAGTAGGCTCTTTCTTTCCCTTTTGAAGTGAAGCCCTCTCCTTCCAAAAAGTTTCGGTCTGGCTCATCTTTCTCTCGGCGATCAGGCCCCAGCGGCAATTCCTGCATTACTTCCCAGCCATCCGTCTCTGGGGAACACAAAGCACAAGTGACAACAAAGGCGGAAGTGGAGCCAGGTCAGCGCCAGGGCTGGGGCTTCCCGTGTGATTGGGCATGCCTTCCCTCCCTTCTGAGACCTTATCTTTGGCCAGGAATTCTACTCCCCATTTCTATCCAGGAAAAGCCAACTTATTCCAGTTTTTCCCTTACCCCATTTTCTTTCTTTCTTTCTTAATTTCTTTCTTTCTCTCCCTCCCTCCCTCCCTCCCTCCCTCCCTCTCTCTCCCTCCCTCTCTCTCTCTCTCTCTCTCTTTTTTTAATATTCTTTTTCTTTTCCAGATGTTCATCTCGGTCGTCCTGATGTTTTACCTCAGACTCCACCTTTGGAAGAAATCAGTGAAGGCTCACCTGTTCCTGGCCCCAGTTTCTCACCTTTAGTTCCAGAGACTTTGCAGATACTAAATACAAGGTTGGTTCTTTGGCCCCTTTCTCCATGTATCTTATCTTTTCTGTCTTCAGGTCTTTGGGAACCTCCATAATTCTATTTTTCTGTGGATCATTGTTAGTTGGTCTTCACTAGGATTTGTGCAGGTTCTCCTTCCTAAGAGCTCATCTTAAGCTATTTGGAAAAGTGTGGGGATAAGGGAGATCTGTGTGTGCAGACTTTCTGGTATTCACTCACATATCCTAACTAACCCTTCATCTCCTGGTGGTAATGTGAGAATTCTCACTTAGAATTTAAGGCTGGGGGCTGGAGTTATGGCTCAGTGGTAAAGCCCTTGCCTAGCATGTGTGAGGTACTGGGTTCGATTCTCAGCATCACATATAAATAAATGAACAAAATAAGGGTCCATCAACAACTAAAAAATATTTTTTAAAAAAAATGTAAGGCTGGAAAAATCTTTGCTGGGTGATGAAAATAATGAAGAGTCAGTTTTTCAGAAGGGTCCAGTGTAAAGATCATGACTTAATTTTATTATCTAGTGTATTTGTTATCTATTGAGTCATAATAAATTACCTTAAAACTGAATGGTTTAAAATAATAAATATACATCATGGTTTCCACGGTCAGGAAACCAGGTGCAGCTTAACTAGGTCTTCTGGCTCAAGGTTTCTCATGAGGTGGCAATCAAGCTATTTCTGGTGCTAGAGTCTTGTCTGAAGGTTTGACTGGGAGGATTTGCTTCTAAGCTTATTTGTGTAGTTATTGGCATGATTCAGTTCCTTGTGGGTTGCTGAACTGGAAGGTCTTAGTTCTTTGCTGGCTAGGGACTGTGGGCCTCCCTCACTTCTTTGCTATGTGGGTCTCTCTGTGAGGGAGACTCAGAGCATGGCAGTTGGCTTCTTATATGCTTGAGCAGAAGCCATAATCTTTTTGTAACCTAATTACAGAATTGATAGGATACTATTACTTGTGCTTCATTTTACTGAGTAATGCAGCCCACACTCAAAAGGAAGGGATGACACAAGGATGTGAATACCAGGAGCAAGGATCATTAGGAGCTATTTTAGGAACTGCATATCACAGTCTGGCTCCTGGCTCCAAGTGACTTACATCTCTCTATGTGCAAACTACATTTCCTTCCTCCAGAGATCTCCCAAAGTGTTATCCCTTCAGCATTGGATCGAAGCCCAGAATTTTGTTATACAAGTTGGGTCCAGATTGACTGAGTTCCCTGGGTTTAAGTTCCTTAAGCGCAGCTGCTCGACCAGAGCTCTTAGTCTGTGAAACTACAAAAACAAGTTAAATTGGGCATGGTCATGCATGTTTGTAATCCCAGCTACTTGGGAGGCTAAAGCAGAAGGATCACAAGTTTGAGGCCAGCCCCAGCAACATAGCAAGACCCTTTCTCAAAATAAAAGGGCTGGGGATGTAGTTCAGAGGGAGAGCACCCCTGGGTTTGATCCCCAGTAGCAAAAGTTAGGGGATGCTGGGGTACAGCTCAGTGGTAAGGTGCTTGGCTTGGCTAATGTATGAGGTGAGGTTCTGGGTTCAGGCCCCATGTGCCCCTCTCCAAAAAAAAAAGTGGTGAGGAGTTATGGGAGGCATGAAAGAAGTTAACTGATGCATTCGCTATTCTGAAAGTCAGGAAATGTTGGCGTTTCTTTGATTAGATCTCAAGGTAAGAGAATAATTCATGTCTCTTGGCTTGGTTTGGCAGCTGAGTAATTTTTCCTTTTTTTGGTAGGGGAGTGGTGGTGGGTACTAGGGACTGAACCCAGGGGTACAAAGTTTGAAATAAGGTCTTAAGTTGCTTGGAGCCTTGCTGAATTGCTGGGGCTGGCCTTGAACTTGTGATCCTCCTGCCTCAGTCTCCTGAGCTGCTGGGATTACAGGCATGTGCCACTGTGCCCTGCTGCAATTTCTTAATTTTAGCATTGATTGCTGTCTCAAGAGTTTCAGATTTTTTGTTTGTTTGTGCCAAGAGTTGAACCCAGGGGTGATTTACCACTGAGCTATATCTCAGTCCTTTTTTTTTTTGTACTGGGGATTGAACTCAGGGGCGCTCAACTATTGGACCACATTCCTAGCCCTATTTTGTATTTTTATTTAGAGACAGGGTCTCAGTCGTTTACTTTAGCTGAGTCTGGCTTTGAACTCTCAATCCTCCTGCCTCAGCCTCCCTAGCTGCTCGATTATAGGCGTGTGCCAACACACCCGGCTCCCAGTCCTTTTTTTATTTTGAAACAGAGTCTCAATTGCTAAATTGCTAAGTCTGGAGTCAAATTTGCAATCCTCCTCCTTCAGCCTTCCAAATGGCTGGGATTATAGGTATGCACCACCATGCCCTATCAAGGTTCAGAAGTTTTGAAACTTTCCAAATCCTGGCTTCTTTTTGTTTGTTAAGTCTTCCATTGGGCTTGAGATGTGGCTCAGTGGTAGAATCCTTACCTTGTGTGCATGAAGCCCTGGATTTGATCCCAGCACCACCAAAACAGAAGAAGAAAAAGAAACCAGGTGACAGTTCAAGACTTTGCTTGGAAATCTCCTTAGCCAGATCACCAGTTCATTACTTAGGCACATGTTCTGCTTTTCACTAACTGGACGATGTTGCTGGTAAGTTTTGTGCCATTACATTATAAGGATCTCCAAATTCCATTTCTTTTTTTCCTTTTTTAAATAATTTTTTAGGGGCTGGGGATGTGGCTCAAGCGGTAGCGCGCTCACCTGGCATGCGTGTGGCCTGGGTTTGATCCTCAGCACCACATACAAAGATGTTGTGTCCGCCGAAAACTAAAAAAATAAATGTTGAAATTCTCTCTCTCTCTTAAAAAATTAATAATAATAATAATAATAATAATAATAATTTTTTAGTTGTTGATAGACTTATTTATATGTGGTGCTGAGAATCGAACCCAGTGCCTCACACATGCCAGGTAAGTGCGCTACTGCTGAGCCAAAGCCCCAGCCCCTCCTAATTCCATTTCTAATTAGATTTTTCTCACTGGTAACCCTAGTTAGTCCAAAATTCTATAAATAGCACATTCAGGACACTAAACTTGCATTAAAACTCTCCTCAAAGCCATTCCCATCTTCTAAAGTCAAAGCCATCTTTTTTGTGTGTGTGTGGCAGTGGTGGTGTGGTGCTGCTGGGAATTGAACCTAGGAACTCCTTGGATGCTAAGTAAGCACTCTGCCAATGAGCTATACGCCTAGATCCCTAAACTTTACATTTCTGTTAGAAAAACTGCACAAATCTGTATTATCTATTGTGTAACAAGTTACCCCGAAACTTAATTTGTTCTTTTTACGACAGTAGTGTGTATTTTGTCATATATGCATAGAGTATAACTTCACAGTTTTGTGGTTTTACATGATGTGGAATTACACTGGTCGTGTGTTCATGTATGAACATAGGGAAATTATGTCCAGTTCATTCTACTGTCCTTCCTATTCCCATCTCCTTTCCCTTCCCTTCGTTCCCCTTTGTCTAATCCAGTGACCTTCTGTTCTTCCCTCACCTGTTGATGACTTTTTGCTGATGGTACTTCCTCAGTTCCTTGTCACATATTGTCCCATCTATTATAGGACAGCTTATATCATAGCAGCTTCCTAGCTTTCCTTAGAAGAAGCAAACTGAGAGGAAGCTAGTCTTTTCCTAACCTAGTCTTAGAATTCATATTCATTTGTGCTACATTCTGTTACAAGAGAATCACTGAATTCAGCCCATACTAAAGAGGAAGAGGTGACTACCAGGAGGGAGAGATTTTGGGGAGCACATTTAGAGGCTGCCTTCCATACCTGGGAATTGAAGAAAGAAAAGCAGAGTACTATGAAATATTTTGTAGTGCTCAAGAAACGACATAATTTTAAACTAAAATAATTTAAATCTACTTCCACACTTACTTATATGGTTGGTTATAGGATTCCTTGAAGACTTTTGGACTGAGGGCAGTTTCTCTTTTATTTATTTATTTATTCATTATGTGGTGCTAACTTAAGTACTTCGTACTTCTAAATTGGGTAGCTTCTTAACATCTTTCTGAATCCAAAATTGATTCTGGGGCTGGGGTTGTGGCTCAGCGGTAGAGCACTTGCCTAGCACGTGCGAGACCCTGGGTTCAATCCCCAGCACCACATAAAAATAAATAAAATAAAGGTATTGTGACCAACTACAACTAAAAAAAATAAAAAATAAAAAAAAATTGATTCTGAAGTGAAGCAGCATTGAGATGTGACCTTAGAGTCTTTTTTTTTTTTTTTAATCTAATTTTTCTCCTGTCTCTTTTTCTCCTGTTAGTTTAATGTTGGAAAAGCTTGAAATTACAGAGTCAGAGTTCTGCCATGTGAGTGTTTGGGATGTGGGGGAGGTAGAAAGTGGATCACTGACGGGTGCAGTGACACACATCTGCAATCCCAGCACACCTGTAATCCTAGTGGCTCAGGAGGCTGAGGCAGGAGGACCACAAGTTCAAAGCCAGCCTCAGCAATCTAAGCAACTCAGCAAGACCCTGTCTCTAAATAAAATATTAAAAAGGGCTGGGGATGTGGCTAAGTAGTTAAGCACCCCTGGATTCAATCCCTGGA